GCATGAGCTGCTTTGTATAACTGAAGTATGGTATTTGTTGTACAGAACGCATCACCCTTTATGAATGTGATACTGCTTTTAAGTTTCTGTCTTCTAGGTGCCAGAAGGAAGCTATAAAGAGAAAGAAAAAGAGATGTGGTGGCAGCAGACACACCCATAGAAGGATAACAAGTATCCTGAAAGCTTCTAAAGAGACATTTGAGCTAATCCCACCTTTGTATCGATAACGAAGATGTTCCTTAAAAGGATATTAGTTAAAAGACGGAAAATGTCATGGTTACCATGTTTTTGTACACCCTTTAAGAAGGTTTGTGATTTAAATATGACCAACCACTTTTATTTCAAATAGCAGGGACAGCTTTGATGTCTGAATAAGTTGAAACATTTAGTCGGAGAGACCACATGGTTCTTAGCACGGACAATACACCACGCTGATACATTTTTTTTACAGGAAGGAACCAAATTTATTTAAAAGGAAGGGGGCCTGGCTTGACTCAGTGTCACTAGCTTTTGGTCACCATCCACGTATGTGCATAACTTGTGAGGGGCTACCTCAAGTCAAGATTGTTTTTTAATTTACTAACGTTAGTTAATTGATGTTAGTTTTATAGTTTTAGTGTTGAGGGTTATCTAAGTAGTGAAATTCCACAAGAGTAGCGATTTGCACTTACATAGAACTGAAAACAGAGGCCACCCTAGTACACTTTGCATAATGAAACTTTGCGGGTTACACAAAAGGGGTGAGAACTGTCGCACAACTCTGAGCTCAGTATGTGTGAGGGGATCACTATTTACTCAGGAAAACTCTGTTGCTCATAGTGTGTGCTTGTGTGTGGGAGTGGGAGTCAGTGTAATACTCAGGAAACTCTGAGCTAATTGTCTGTGTGTGTATGGGAGGGTGGGTCACTGTAATATTCAGGAAACTGAGCTCAGTGTATGTGTAGGAGCGTGAGTTAGTGTGCTATTCTGGAAACATTGAGCTCAGTGACTCTGCCGGTTTTAACTTTTCACTTGGGAAACTCTGACCTTACTGTTTTTGAGTGGGTCACTGTAATATTCGGAAAAACAGTGTATCTGAGTAGAAGGACCATTGAAGGGATCTGGAGGGCCTAAACCAGATCACAGTTGGGGCCCCTTTGAACCAGGCAACAAGAATAACTTGCACTTATATAGTGCCCTCAGGGTGGTGTCTCAGAGTGCTTAACAGATTGCTTAACAGTGGCGGAGCCTCACTACAAGTCGGGTGGGGGCGTGGGGGAGGTGGTCGTAAGCACTGTCAAAGAGGAAACTTTTCAGGCAGGACTTGAAAAAGGGGAAACTCTGAGCTCAGTGTATGTGTAGGAGCGTGAGTTAGTGTGCTATTCTGGAAACTGTGAGTTCAGTGTCTCTGCCGGTTTTAACTTTTCACTTGGGAAACTCTGACCTTACTGTTTTTGAATGGGTCACTGTAATATTCGGAAAACAGTGTATCTGAGGAGCAGGACCATTGAAGGGATCTGGAGGGCCTAAACCAGATCACAGTTGGGGCCCCTTTGAACCAGGCAACAAGAATAACTTGCACTTATATAGTGCCCTCAGGGTGGCGTCTCAGAGTGCTTAACAGATTGCTTAACAATGGCGGAGCGCCTCACTACGAGCTGGGTGGGGGCGTGGGGGAGATGGTCGTAAGCACTGTCAAAGAGGAAACTTTTCGGGCAGGACTTGAAAAAGGGGAGAGAGGGGGCAAGGCGGAAGGATTGAAGGAGAGTATTCCAGAGTTTCAGGTATTAGGGATTGAAAGCGTGACCTCCAGTGGTGGAGCGGAGGGCGCAAGGGACGAGCAGGAGGCCAATGCCAGTTGAGCGGAGGTGCCGGGTTATGGATTGGGCAGTGAGGAGGTCAGAGAGATAGGGAGGTGCCAGAGTGAAGGGATTAGAACATGAGTGTGTTCAAGTATTGCAAAATGTGCAACAATATCTTTTTAAAATACTTTATTCCATGACATCATAGTTACAAATCTGGCAACTACATGATCAAAATGTAGCGTACATGTCAAATTGTGCTCAATAGACAGGATTGCAAGTGCATTCATTCTATCCTGAATCATATAGATCTGAGTGAGTTATTGATGAGACTCATCTTTGAGAACCAGCGCTCATGTTCGCAGACTGCTACTGATAATGTAAGGAACATATGAAGAGCGACTGCCACATTTAGAAATGTGAGCCTATCGCAAATAAAAATGCACCCAGCTGTGTTATCAAATTAATAATGCTGCCGATTAATCCTACCGATTAATTTGATTAAATTGCAATGAATAACAGTCAAATGCATTGAAAGAACTGTGTTTTTGTTGCAAGTGCTTGAATGCCAAAGTTTAAGCAAGTAGACTGGATATTACAGGTTATCGGGACGAGGAAAGGGCAAGGCAGTTGTGGCAGGTGGGGGAGAGGGAAAATCCCAGCCCAGCTTTTCAAAATCCAGCCCAGACCGGCAACCAACCAAACTGAACCAAACAAACTCAGAGCAGGGGAGGACAGAACATTCCAACCCAATCTAACCAAACTGAACCATGACCAAAACTTTACTTTCTGGCTGCACCTCTCTTCCAGTCGCTCTCCACGCTACCTCTAACAGGGTTGTACGAAGTGCGGAGATGAGGTATGAGGGGCCTGGATATTGTTAATACATTTACCTCCTGGCTGCACCTCTCTTCTAGTTGGTCTCCTCATAATGAGGCAGCACAGAGAGTGATGTGGAGATGGATGCAGCCAGGAGGTAAAGGCAATAACAATACCCGTGGACCCCTCAGACCCCAGGGCCCTAAAACATGTTTTACCTGGTTTATTGATTAATCCAGTCCTGGTGAGGAGTCACTGTTCAAAAAAATCAACTCCGTTCTCATCATGATTGAAAGATTTCCGGTGTCCATTGTTGATAGTATTTAAATGTTTGATTACACCTAAACAGTTCGGTACATTTATTTGTGTTAGGCTCACATTTCCATTAATGTTACGATATCCATTAAGTGCTCTGAGACACTACCATGCATGGAGGGCGCTCTATGAGTGCAAGTTGTTGTTGTTGACTCAGATTGTCACTATCATTTAAATGTTATTTCATTTAAATGAAATTGTTGACTCTAAAATGGGTGAGTCTGTGGGGGTCATGGAGCCTGGTGCGGGAGAGGACACAAGGGAAATGTTAGGGAGGCCAACAAGGAAGGAGTTTCCATAGTCGAGCCTTGAGGTGACGAGTGTGTGTATGAGGGTTTTGGCAACCTGAGGGGTGAAGCAATGAGGAGTCAGGCAATGTTGCGGAGGTGGGGAAACACAGAGCGGCTCATGGCACAGATATGGGGGAGAAAAGACAGTGAGGATCGAACAAAACACTCAGGATTCTAACTGGCTTGGTGAAGTGGATGCTGATGCTGCAGGTACCCAAGGTGCTGAGGCGCTGATGCGAGCTAATCAGGAGGTCCTCCGTCTTGCTGACCTTCAACTGTAAAAAGTTGGCTCTCATCCAGGACTTGATGTCAGACAGACAGTCTGTCAGGACGTCAGTTGCCATGGAATCGAGGCAGAGCAATAGAGTTGGGTGTCATTTGTGCACATGTGGAAGTTTATCCCATATCTGCAGATGATGTCACCAATAATAATAATCCTTGCATTTGATATAGCACTTTTCATACCTTCTAGACGTCTCAAAGCACTTCACAGAATATGCTGTAAAGTGAATTGACCGTATATTTGTGGGCGAAACGCGGCAGCCAATTGCACACAGCAGTGTCCCACAAACAGCCGTGGATTGAAAATGACCAATTTATTATTTTTTTGTTTGGAAGGGATTATTATTGGGCATGTGGAGTAAGAAAACTTGCCGAAGGTTTCGCCCTGCCTGGAATTGAACCCAGGTGGCTCACTTGCAAGACGAGTACTCTAACCACTGAGCTACAGGACTCCAGTAACAGGACTCAGCTATTGCTGAAACAAACATTCAAAGTTCTGGTGTTCAGCTTGGCTCAGTCGGCAGCACTCTCTTTGAGACAGAGAAGACAGAGGGACTTTGAACTTACAGTCAAGGCTGGCATTTCAATGCCAATTTCAATGTAGAGGTTGAAGAGGAGGGGACCGAGGACAGAGCCCTGGGAACATCACACAAGACTGTGTGGGGGCTGGAAGAGAAACCGTTGGGGAAGACAAATTGGAGACGAGAGATAAGACCTGAACCATTCAAGGACAGAACCTTGAAAGTTGAGGTGAAAGGAAAGACAGTGGAGGAGGATGGAGTGTTCCATGGTATCAAAGACAGCAGAGAAGTCAAGAAGGACAAAGGAGGCAAAGGGAGCCCTGATCACAAATGGACACAATGATGTTTTGTCACCTTGACCAGAGCAGTGAAAATTAACCTTTTATATAGCAATCCGGAGAATATAGTTGCATGAGTTTGCTTCTTTGCACTTTCTTCCTTGTTTACGTTCTGGGTCTATCCCAACTTCAGGCTAATTAGTGTCCCATATTCATACACAGGACAAACATGTTTTTCTGATCTTCTAGGTCATTTGGTTTGGCTCACAGATATTGTTTTCTTGTTGATACTCCTCACCTAATAATACCACCTAATTATTACTCACATTCACCACTCATTTGCCTTACTTCTCACATAACACAGGCTATCTATTACACATTCCAACTTAACTATACTTAACAAAGCAAGAATAATCGATAAAGGACAAACTGTATTAATTTCTAACAAGTTACAAGCGCAATCATCAACAAAACTTCACTTAAAGATACAGCAGAAGACACAGACTGTGAGAGAGGTGGGGAGAGAGAGGGAGAGACATTGAGAGAGAATGTGAGAGGGGGTGAGAGTGTATGAGAGAGAGAGAGGAGGAGTGAGTGATTGAGAAGGGGGAGGTGGAGTGGGAGAGAGTGTAAGAAGAGGAGTGAGAGAGAGTTTGTGAGAGAAGGAGAGAGTGTATGCGCCAGAGGAGAGTGGGATAGAGAGGGAGAGCGTGTGATTGAGGGAGAGAAAGCGTGAGGGAGAGGAGAGAGCAGAGGAGAATTGAAGGCATCGTTTCATGGTTCACTGTCAGGCAAGACGATCGTAGCCTCCCTCGGCCACCCGGGGGGGGGCCTTAGGATGGATACCGAGTGAGGGATAGATTCTCCACAGAAAGCTCCCTAGTTCCCCAGTGAGAAACCTCTCAACATCCTTCATACATCCGACACACCCCCACTCCCAGCCTGTAGTGAGTGGCTGAATATTCAGCTGATGAAGGTGGAGCAGAGGGGACGAGGAATATGCAGGAGGCATTTAATTAATCAACAGTTTCTAATTTTTTCCTTACATAGCATTCTGGTTTGAATTCACAGATTCGGCGATGAGATGCATTGCACTTCTCATTGTTCCATTTGTCCTGGTCGAACTCAGCGCCCTTAGTAACACAGAATTCAGTATTTTCATTGTTTGGCTCGTCAGAGGCCCAAAACCTGAAAACAAAAAGGAAAATACATTGTTTGTAAAATGCATACTTTACCAGGATATGTCAGCATAGTTGACAGAAATATCACCTGGTTCCTGACACCAACACTGACTACACGGACTCCTCCACCTAGTTCTTTCAAACCCCAAATTTAGGGCAATGATGTAACTATCTGGAAAACTTTGCTGCTGCTTGTCCAGCACAGACCAACCTACTCTTTAGGGCTTTGATTTGCAGAGTTAATGAAAGCTGAGTGGGGTGACTCTCAAATTTAATATTGTACTTTATTGTATCGGTCTTATTGCTTACTCTCAATATACAGTCACACAAATCATTTGCTGCCTCACCAATAAAGATCTTCAGTTGAGGAAAACTTAATGACAATCAGACAATCAGCAAGTTTGACAACAGGAGCTTGAATTGAACAGAATTATTAAAGTGAAACAGTAAAAAATGGATGAACATACGCTGTAGCCAGAGATGTTCCATCTACCCACTGAAAGTCATTGCCAGCACCATCTTTTTGCAACCCAATCCACCGTTTCTCTTTGTCATAATTTTTTATAAATTCCTGTAAGAAAAATAAAATCAGTATATTTTGTGAGCAAACACGGCAGCCAATTGCGCATAGCAGTGTCCCACACGGAGCCATGGATTGAGTGATTAAATTATTATTATTTATTTGAAGATTATTATGGTATTGATGCAAGCTGGCAAATAAATTTCTGTTAGAACAATAATAAAATCAGCAAAAATCTTTAGGTAAGAAGGAGTAATGGGTTGGGGTGTGGGGATGGAGGCAAGAGAGGTATAGAGAGGATTTGGGGTCGTCGGGGAGAAATGAAGGCGGAGTTTGAGGAGGGGGCAGAGTTGGAGAGCTCAGGTCGGGAGCCAAAACACGCATGCAAAGACCAGCAGCGATCAGGGGGGCAGGATCAGCCTGCAGGCTACAGGAGACAGTGCAAGGGTTTGGGGGGAGAGGGGGGATGGCAATCATGGCTTAAGTGCCAGAGATAGGGAGGGAAAAGAGGGAGGACTCTGGTCATGTTACATCTGGAGTACTGTGTACATATCAGATCTCTGTGGTATAGAGTATTAGAGGCAGTGAAGAAAAGAGGAATGATGATGATCCCCAGTGATAGGGGAATAATCTATGAGCAACTATTGAACAGGTAGGGGCCTTGAAGAGACATCACAGAGGAGACCTTGTAGACGTATACAATACTCAATGTTCAGTGTTCCAAAGGGCAATTTCAGGATAGATACCAGAAAGTATTCCTTTACCCAGAGGGTAATTGTTGATAGGAATGGGTTACCAGGAAGGGTTATTGAGGCTAAAATACTGGACTCATTTGAGAAACAGCTTGATGTTAATGCTGTATTTGGAGGACGGTTTGATGGCTATTCTCGAAGGCTGAGATCAAATTAAACTTAGGATCTTCTTCATCCAAACCACTCTTATGGTCTTGCAAATTACTGATGAAGTTCTTTGAGATGTTTTGACATGATAGAAGCTGTATCAAATACAAGGATTAATACTGTTATAATAACTTGTGTTGTATCTGACCTGGGAGTGCCTAATTAGACAGATTAGAGCTTTACTCTGCATGTAACCTGTGCTAAAGGTTTTCATGTTCAAATCCATTCATTCCCTGGCACCTCTCTACCTCTCCAACCTCCTCACTACCTAATCCACCACCCGGTGCCTACGCTCGACTGGCACTGGCCTCCTGCTTGTCCGTCGCATCCTCCAACCCACCATCAGAGATCGTGCTTTCAGCCACTATGTCCCAAAACTCTGGAACATTCTCTTTCAAGTCCCATCTGAAAACTTTCCTCTTCGACCGTGCTTACAGCCACCTCCCCCACCTCTCCCTCAGCTCAGACACTGCCACTGTTTAGCGCTCTGAGACAGTACCCTGCATGGGGGGTGGGCGGGGGTGGCTGTTTAAGTGTATGTTGTTGTTGCTGCTACTGTTGTTGTAAAGCCAATCTGGAGTGTTTGATTGGAAAGTTAGAAGCATCTGTTATGGGTATGCAAACCACCAGAATTTGAAATGGATAAGATAATTCAATTGTACTTAGCTAACAAAAAGATTGCGTATTATCTCCAGCCATTAATACAAGAATGCATTAATTACAAACTCCCAGCACAAAGGAAACACTTGCAATAGTACCGAGTTTAACATTATTCCTGCAGGAAATCATTTATATGCAGGCAGATTGGCAACCAGACATTATTCACACTGAAGAAACCATTCGCATCATTTTGCTCCAGTTGGATAATGTAGAGTTCATCTGCAAATCTGCAACAGACTGGCCTCACCTGTTCAGCTGAATCATCTACAATCACAAGTGAGCAGCAGGACATGGAGGCACAAGTAATATTGGCATCTGCCCAATTACTTGAATCAGTTGGGAAATGGTAGACGCTCTTTCGGAAAGAAGTACAGTTCCAGCCCGAGGGGTGAAGAGAAATTATACCTGTAATATGATTCCATAAATAACAGTTATTCATATATATCAGCGGAATATTGAAGTTATGTGTTAATAATAATAATAATCCTTAAATTTTGATATAGCACTTTTCACATCCTCTAAATGTCTTAAAGTGCTTTACAGAATATACTGTAAAGTGAATTGACTGTATATTTGTGGGCAAAACGCAGCAGCCAATTGTGCACAGCAGTGTCCAACAAACAGACGTGCATTGAAGTGAACAATTTATTATTTTTTGTTCCAAAGGGGATAGATAATACCAGAGACATATCCATTTGTGAAGTATCTCCATTTTACAGTTGAAAAATTGATCAAACCACTTCCCTCTTCAGTTGAACAGTTAATTTGCATAAGCCCCAGCGCCCAACCCCAGACACCCTTACCCCAGCTCTAAACTACCACAGAGCCTCTGTAGCCTGACTAGCAGCCACCACCATAACCTACTATGGGCTGATATCATGGTGGATCTAAGAGAAGGGCACTCTTTAAACATGTTCAGAAGCAAAACTAAATTTAAAGTTGGAAGTTTATTTTGGATTTAGCATTACCTGAGTTCAGACTAGCTTAACAGATTCTAGGCAGATCTATTACTCAGAAAATTCAAGATGAAATACACATAAGCATCTGTCATACTTACCATCACGAACATCCTTTGCAAATTTCTTGACCTTATCATCTAATGCTGTGTAGTTGGTACTTACTTCATTGTAGTTGATCATGAATTTACTGTAGTTGGTATTTAGTTCATTGTAGTTAGTCATTAATTTACTGTATTTGGTATTTAGTTTATTGTAGGTGGTCATTAATTTACTGTGACTGGTCATTAATTCATTGTAGTTGGTATTTAGTTCATTGTAGTTGGTCATTAATTTAGTTTGGTTGGTATTTAGTTTATTGAAGTCGGTCATTAATTTACTGTGGCTGGTGTTTAATTCATTGTTGTACGTCATTAATTCACTGTGGTTGGTCATTAAATTCTGAAACCTAATCTTCAGTGACCTATTTTCTATTTCGATATCCTTCAGTTTGTTTTCCATGCATACATCTAAAATAAAAATAAATATTTCATATCAGCATAAGAAATCCGACAGATTTAATTATTACAGGAGTTTTTGGTCAGCCAGGGGTCTGATGTACGCAGAAACCGATCGCCATTCTTAAAAGAATGATATTGAAACCAGACTGATAGTAGTATGCATCCCACCTATGCATGGAATTCCCGTATATTGAAATGGAACGTGGACCTTCCCTGGAGGAACGGATCCTCGTTACCTAATTCTGGTGAGTATTAGTCAATTCAGCTCCAAGGACACTCCACTTACCTCCCCCAACCTAAGGAGGATAGTCATTATTTTTTACAATAGTTATCCTTGAATTTGATATTGGCCTTATCACATCAGCGAGATGTCTCAAAGTGTTTCACTGGATATACTGTGAAGTGGATTGACTGTAGATTGACTGTATTTCTGTGACCAAAACATGGCAGTCAGTTGCACACAGCAATGTTTTCCTACAAACAGCCATGGAATAAGTGATTAATTTTATTGGGGGATTTGTTAACCAGTATAGTGTTAGAAACTCCCTCCCGGAGTCTGCTGAGCAGAGGGAGCGGATAGGTTGCTTTGGGGTTAGCAGGTTACAGAGGTAGGAAGGGGCAAGTCTATGGAGGGCTTTGAAGGCAAGGACGAGGATTTTGAAATCTATCTTCTAGGGGTTGGGGAACTAGTGAAGCCGGGCGAGAGTCTATAGCCCAGAAAGCTACAGAGGTAGAATGGTTAAAAAAATACATATTTGAATAGTGGCGGTATTGAGAGGTAAAGAAATTGGCATAGAATTGAAATTTAAAACATTTCCAATATCTAATAAACTTTTCAAACAGGCCTGATGTGCTGAATGGCCTCCTCTTTTGGTTTTCCTATGTTCCTAAAATGAATTTACAACCTTTTTTATCAGATGATTTGTTGTGAAAATGCACACTCACTAATTATGATGAATGAAATTGCTACCGCCAAGATGATCAGAAGGAGACATATTAATATTATCACTGGAACCGATCGAGCCACTGGAATAATAAAAGAAAAAAAAGATTTAAGAAGAGAAAGAATGAAATACAGTAGAAATTGTTTTAGTCAGATGCTGGGTAAATGAAACAAAACATCCACAATTCATTTAAATTCATACCCGTTTTAAATATGCCGGGTAATTTGGACAAAATCCGGTTAATCTGGATGAAATGCCGTGCTGATCGCTGTTGCGTCAACTCACTTGTGCCTTCTGTGTCTCAAGTGACTCCATTCAGCCACAACCAGCTCTGGGTGGAGTCAAATTGTGATTGATTGGCAATGGAGTCGAGCCATTAACAAGCGGACTCGGGCTCTTAAGTGAGATGAGGAACTAGGAAGACACAAGGAAGGGAAAGGGAAAATCGTGATTGATTGACAGCTGGAGCCACTTGTGAACGGGTGGATTGCCCATCCATTCATAAGTGGCTTCAGGCTGTCAATCACTTCAGAGCCACTGCTAATTGGTCCCCCCCACCCCACTGTGCAATGAGAACAGCAATGGGGGGGAGGAGGTGCTGCCACCATTCCTCTGCTGGGCAGGGAGAAGTAAGAGAAATTTGGTTAACCTCGGACGCCACTTAAGCCAGACAAAACAACAAGCCCCAATGTGTCTGGCTTAAGTGGCTTCCACTCTAAGTTTGCATAAGTATATTTTTAATTTAAGAATGTGAGAGTATAAGAACATATGAAATAAGGAAAGGGTATCTGAGTAGCTTTTTAAGGAGATATTATTCAGCGGTGGAAATTAGCCCTTGTGGTACTTCGGGATGAGAGGGAATACATGGTTAGTCCAGCAACCAGAATGTTGGTATGGTCAAGCCTGGGCATAGTAAATACAAGGATAAGGATCTCAGCAGCCCAAGGAAAGAAGTATTGTTCAAGAAGGGTGATATCTTGGAGGGGGGAAAAGCTGAGTGGGAGTAGGAGTTGTTTGTACTGGAGAAGAGGAGCCTGGGATTTCCTTGGCCTCCAGGATGATGTTGGAGTAGAAGGACGATTTTGCTGAGGCATGGGCGGAGGTGGTTTCTATGTGGGACAGTCAAATTTGGTGATCAACTGTTAGATAGGATTTATGCCAGATGCATTCGGCTTGAGGGAGTGGAGGTGGCTGGTGCACTAGGGGGACTTGTGGGAGTAGGAGACTGTGCAGGAGGTGACAGGGGCAACAGGCCCAGGGATGTAGTTCAGATGACTCTAAGGCGGCAGAGAAAGATTGGGAATCAAATTTTTTCTAGAGGTAGTAGGAGACAGAAGTGAATTGGGTGGCAGGGAATGGTATGGAGAAGTTAAGGGAAATTGAATAATGGTCCCAGATGGCTTTGTCAATGATGGCGATACCCTAGACAGTCAGGCCCCAGGTAATCACCGGTTGAGAGGATGACCATAGATGTGAATGATGATGTTAATGTGGAGGGTTAGGTTGTGATAGGAGAGGAGGGAGGAGAAGTAATAATAATAATTAATAATAATCCTTGCATTTGATATAGCACCCTATCACATCTTCGAGACGTCTGAAAGCTCTTCACAGAAAATAGTGTAAAGTGAATTAACTGTATACTTTGGGGCAAAAGTTATTATTATTATTTGTTTTGAAAGAATTATTACTCCCAGAAAAATGATCTGCTAATCGACTAACAATCAGGTTCCAACTTACTGCTAGGTAAACATAGCTGTGTAGACTAAGGAAAGTTACTCGACATTTCGCCCTTCTGGGAATTGAACCCAGGTGTCTCGTTTGTGCGGCGAGTGCTCTAACCATCAAGCTACAGGACTATCAAGATGTCAAGCCACAGTCAGTAGAGGTGGAGGGGTAAAGTAAATGTTACAGTCGACTACGATAAGGAGGCATTCAGAACATCAAGTCTAGGAATCACAGTCTAAGATGACACTCCATTGCAGTGCTGCTGAAGGGGTTTTGCAATGTTCCCATCCCCCTAAAAGCAGCTATAATCACCCCTATCACGGTCAGCCAGAAGATTACTCTGAGGTGGAGATGTCAGAGAGGAAAGTCCCTTCTAGTTCAGGAACCTTCTTCCTTTTGCACTGCCAAGGTCTCTGCTTTTACTATCTGTTAATTAACATTTTTTTGAGGATAACAAAAATTATGAAGCTCCCATTCACCCCGCTAGTACCTTTTTCTTTTGCTCACTGAATATCCCCATGCTCCATATTCTGCTAATTTATTTGCAACATTTGTCACTATCAACAACAACAACAACAAAATTATGTTTGTAAAGTGCCTTCCACGTCAAGAGGATGTCCCAAGGCCTGAACAGTCAAGGATCAGGACCCAAGGGAGCAGGGAGCAGGGTTGGGGTGAGGGAGGGCAGAGTGGGTAGGAGGGGGCTGAAGGCATGGTCCAAAAGGAAGGTCTTGTTGTGCCTTGAAGGAGGTAAGAGAGGGAGGAAGGCAAAGGGATTGTGGGATGGTGTTCCAAAGAGTGGGGGCAGAGAGGCTGATGGTAGGGCGGGTTGGGTGGGAGACATGGAGCAGGCCTGAGCCTGCTGAACGGAGGGAGTGGACAGATTGATAGGGAGTCAGCAGGTCAGAGATGTGGGGCGGCAAGGACGTGGAGGGCCTTGAAGGTGAGGACGAGGATTTTGAAATCTATCCTCCGAGGGATGGGGAACCAGTGGAGCCAGGCAAGGGTGCGGGTGATGGAGGTCATGGAGCCTGGTGAAGTGGAGGATACGAGCTGCAGAGTTTTGGTGATCTGCAGCTTGTGGAGGGAAGAGTTGGGGAGGCCGACAAGGAGGGAGTTTCCGTAGTCAAGCCTTGAGTTGATGAATGCATGTATGAGGGTTTCAGCGGCCTGAGGGGTGAGGCAGTGGGGAAGTTGGGCAATGCTGCGGAGGAGGGAGAAGGCAGAGCAGGTCATGGCACGGATATGGGGGAGAAAGAACAGTTGAGGGTCAAACAAGACACCCAGGTTCCTAACTGGCTTGGTGCGGTGGAGTGTGCATCGAATGGATGCTGTTGCTGCCAACACTTGAGGTCTGAAGGCGCTGGTGCGAGCCATTCAGGAGGGTCTCAGTCTTGATGAAATTAGCTATAGAAAGTTGGCTCTCATGCAGGACTTAATGTCTGACAGTCAGTCTGTCAGGAGGTCAGTTGTCCTGGAATCAAGGGTGGAGGCAGAGAGATAGAGCTGGGAGTCATCCACGTGCACGTGGAGTTGACCCCGTGTCTTAGGATGATGTCACCAAGTGGGAGCATGTAGATGTTGAAGAGGAGGTGACTGAAGACAGAGGCCTGTGCAACACTGCACACGACTGTGCAAGGGCTGGAAGACAAACTGTTGGCGGACACAAATTGGAGAAGATGTGAGAAATAACCATTCAAGCACCGAACCTTAAAGTTTGAAGTGAGATGAGGCAGTAGAGGAGGATGGAGTGGTCCACGGTATCAAAGACAGCAGAGAGCTTGAGGAGGATGAGGAGGCAGAGCGAGCCCTCGTCACAGATGGACAGGATGCCATTTGTCACCTTGATGAGAGGAGGTTCCATGCTGTGATCAGCACAGAAACCCAACTGGAGGGGCTCGTGTAGGAAGAGGTAGGAGAGCATGTAGTGAAGCTGGGAAGCAATGACTGTCTCAAGGATCTTGGAAAGAAAAGGGAGGTTGGAGATGGACAACAACAAGATTCCATTTATAGAGCGCATTTCACGTCGGGAGAACGTCCCAAAGCACTGACCAGTAGTTAGAAATCAGGGATGGGTCCTGGGAAGCTTTTTCAGGATGGGGGTGATTATAGCTGTTTTTAGGGGGATGGAAACATTGCCAGATGATAAGAACATAAGAATTAGGAGCAGGAGTAGGCCATTCAGCCCCTCGAGCCTGCCCCGCCATTCGATAAGATTATGGCTGATCTTCAGACCGAACTCTAATTACCTGCCCTATCCCCATATCCCCTAATCCCTCTACTTTTTAAAAATCTATTAGTCTCAGCCTTCAAGATGTTCAAGGACTGAGCCTTCTGGGGTAGTGAATTCCATAAATTCACTACCCTCTGAGTGAAGAAATGTTTCCTCAACTCTGTTCTAAAGGGCTGACCCTTAATTTTAAGACTGTGACCCATGGTTATAGATTCTCCAACCAGGGGAAACAGTCCCTCGGTGTCTTCTTTATCCAGCCCTTTAAGAATCTTATATGTTTCAATAAGATCTCCCCTAATTCTTCTGTATTCTAGAGGATACAGCCCTAGTTTATTCAGCCGATCCTCATAGGTCAGTCCCCTCATCCCAGGAGCTAACCTTGTGAATCTACGCTGCACCGCCTCCAGGGCAAGTATGTCCTTTTCTAAATAAGGAGACCAAAACTGCACACAATACTATAGGTGCGGTCTCACCAGAGCCGTATACAGTTGCAGCAAGACTTCCCTACTCTTGTACTCTAAACCTTTTGCAATGAACGCTAACATGACGTTCGCCTTCTTAGTTGCTTGCTGCAACTGCAAACTAACTTTTTGAGACTGGTGTACAAGGACACCCAAATCCCTCTGCACACGAATACTATCTAATCTCTCCCCCTCTAGAAAATAATCTGTTTTTCTATTTTTTCTACCTAGGTGAATAACTTCACACTTCCCCACATTAAATTCCATCTGCCACCTACTCGCCCACTCCCCTAGCCTATCTATATCCCGTTGCAATCTTTTTGCATCATCCTCAGAGCGTACTCTCTCACCTAGTTTAGTGTCATCCGCAAATTTAGATACGTTACATTCAATAACCTCGTCTAGATCATTGATGTAAATTGTAAATAGCTGAGGCCCAAGCACTGATTCTTGTGGCACTCCACTAGTCACAGCCTGCCAATTTGAGAATGACCCGTTTAACCCTACTCTCTATTTTCTACCCATTAGCCACTCTTCAATCCATGCTAATATGTTCCCATTAATCCCGTGGGTCTTAACCTTGTGCAATAGCCTTTTGTCTGGCACTTTGTCAAATGCCTTTTTAAAATCTAAATATACTACATCTACTAGTTCTCCCCCTAT